GGAGAGCTGGTCCCGGCGCGGCCAGAGCTGGTCCCGGCGTGGCCAGAGCTGGTCCCGGCGCGCCTACACCAGGCCCTGCCGCTGCCAGGGCCTTCAGCTGAAGGGCCATGCAGGGTGCCAAGGCTGTGCACGGGCCAGGGCAGTCTGTCTGCTCAGTAATCATTTTTTCTTGTCTCTGTTTTAGCTCTATGAGATATTCAGCTGCCTGGCAGAGCTGGGTGCCATAGCTCAAGTTCATGCTGAAAATGGGGATATAATTGCACAGGTAACTAACTACTCTTCTGGTATGCAGGGACTGAAAATCCATCCCAGGCACATTCGGTGTGGGGCATTAGCAAAATTACATTAAAGCTGCATGGGCGTCTTTTGAAAGGTGATCTCTTTGCTGCTCAGCAGCAATATTAAATTTACCAAGATTTTCTGCTGTGAATATGTGGTGCATAAGTGAATCTGAAATAGCGAATTAGCGATTATCTAAATGGAAGAGAGTGGGTCATCAAGTATGGTATGTTCACTCCAACTGCAGCTCTTTTTTGGTGTGGAGAGGCAGAGACCTTTGGCTTGCACATAATCAGCTAAGAGTTAAAGCGTATTGAAAAGTGCCGCAGCAAGAGAGGAATTTTCTCCCCGCTGTAAGCAAGCAGCCGGCTAATGGAGCTGGATTGGCAAGGGAATTGTTATGAGGGATGTGGTTTGGTGTTCAAGTGGGTTGGCTGTATTGGCCTGCTGTGTTGCAATTGGTGCTGGATAAGAGAAAGTCCAAATGTTTTGATTTTCATTAAGACAGAGAAGATATTGCTAGTTATGCTCTGCAACTACTTGTTTTTTCCTGTCTGTCTCATTCTTGGGAGTCGAAGGAGTGTGAACTAAGAGGTCATTCTTCGAACATCCTCTCAGACTACAAGAATCAATTCTTCTTTGGACTTTTTAGAGCTGTGGTGCACAATTGGATGGCTCTTTCACATGGAAACAGAGTGGTCAGAGGAATTGTCTTGGCTAGAGTTTATCTCTACTTCAGCACCAGTCTAACCACAAAATGCCCCAAAACTCTGAGTTGCTACCACTTCACAGCCCAGGGAATTGCTTCCTTCTGTCAGGACTGATTGAAACATCACAGGCTGGGGTGGGGCTCAGCATGTTGTTAGCACAGAGACGTGATGCTTGTGGTCATCTGCTGGTGGTGGTTCCCAGGAAGAAGGCAGAGGATTTGTCCTCTCCATTCCCCACTTCAGTCCATTTTACTTTCAGCGCTCCTGGCAACTGTGTGTTTCTCCAGAGTTTGGTCAACACAGGAGAGGAGGTTGCAGGGGAAGAGATGTGATGCATGTCCTGAACAGAAATAGGATGTGAGCAGAGCTCCAGACTTCAGACTCTGACATGCTGTAGGTGGTGGGAGAGTGCTTCGTGGTGGGTGAAGAGCAAGATGTGAGAAGAGTATTGTCAAGTCTTTGCTTGGCACTTTCACTGTGGCAGAGAAGGTGTCAGAGGAGGTAACATGCAGCACTTACCTGCTGTGCAGCCTCATCCTTTGATACACTCCTCCAACAGCTGTAAACACATCTGTTATCATTGCTGGAGTTACACGGTCCTGACACAGATTGGTGGCATTATTTAATGCCTGTAAGATGCTCAGTACTCTACAAGACACAAGAAAAAGTGCATAAAACCACTTGCTTACTATTACTGCTGCTGTGCATCCACTTCATGCCCCCCTGACACCTCTTGGAGAAATGTTGCCTGCTGTGCAACTGCACGTGGTTTCTGCAAGTCAAGGGCAGGTGTTGGGTGGGAGCAAACATGTGCATTGCCACAGGCAGTGTGACAGCACATGGATAAAGGTGCAAGGGTCAGAAAGATCCCTGAGTGCCTTGGTCAGGGCAGACCACAAAGTCCCCCTGCATGTTTCCTTTCAGCTCTGTCAAAGGGAGATGTTTGAAACAAGGGAATATGAGAGAAGTCTCTAGGGTACAGACAGGAGATAGGCAGGCCAGCGCATGCAGCACACACACTTATCCATGGTCCTTTTTATAACAGCAAAATACTTGGGATACTGTTAACACAGGAACCAACACCTGACACCACAAGCTACTATAGAAGTTGATACAGGACAGGATTTAGCATTTGCTGATATCCAAATGATTAAACAGCACTGGGGACCCAGGAGTAACCTTGGGAGGAGAATTTTTTTGTTGGCTTTAATGATTGTTTTCTGAACAGTTTCTACTTGGACTACTTGCTTTTCAGAAGGGGAGCCAGGGAGGGCCTTGGAAAGGGACCGTTAAACAGCAAGTGCTGTTCATGGAGCTGGGGAGTTTTGTACCCTTTTTTCCTCCACACTGTGCTTGTTTCATCGAAGAGGTTTCAGTCGGTGTCCACGCTCCCTCCAAGCACTCCTGTTTCCCCATCTCCCTTTCTCTCTCAAACCCCTTGGCAGTGCAGCAGCCTCTCACCGTGCATGGTGGTCCCACGGGTCATAGGGTGGTGGCAGTCCTCAGGGAAGGGCTCAACACAGGAGGGATCTGCTTTTCTGTGTGGTTGATAGTTTCACAGTCTTGTAATGTCTCCCTCTATCCTTTTGATGTCCTAGGAACAAACCAGGATGTTGGAGATGGGAATAACCGGCCCCGAGGGCCACGTGCTGAGCAGACCTGAGGAGGTAAGATGCAAAGGACAGTACCAGCCTTGCTGCACTGAAGAACTTTCCCCACAAATCACAGTAGGGCTTAGTGTATTTAGTGGGGCCAAGCAAGCATTGTGTGTGTGTGTGTGTATGCATCTATGGGTATCTGTTTATACAGGCGATACTGTCCTGTTCAT